CAGCCTGGGGCCTAGACAGAAGAGGCTGGCCTCTGGAGTCCCACAGAACAGGCCGTGAAACTCATCTCTGCAACCATGGCGGCTGCACTGTTGAGCATTCCCTTGTGACCAGGTGGCCTGAGGTTCTAATAAAGTGGCTGAGGTGATGCACATCAGAAATGCCCAATCCACTCTCTTCTTCAGGGGCTGTGTGCATAAATAGGGAAACCCCATTTCTAGGAAAGTTTCTAGGCCATCAGCACTCTCCTCCAAAAGAAGTGAACCATCAGCGAGATGCTGACATGCAGAAATGACTCAATATAGTTTGGGTTTTATTTATTTATTTTTTAGTTATAGGTAGACACAATATCTTATTTTTATGTAGTGCTGAAGATCAAATAAGCGCCTCACCCATGCTAGGCGATTGCTCTACCTCTGAGCCACAACCCCAACCCTGCAATATAGTTTCTTTTTTTTTTTTTTTAGTTGTAGATGGTCATAACACCTTTATTTTGTTTATTTATTTTTATGTGGTGCTGAGGATCGAACCCTGCGCCTCATACCTGCAAGACAAGTACTCCAACACTTAGCCACAACTCCAGCCCCTCAATATGATTTTAATAGACATATTTACATTGTGCCATTAGATTTGGAAAGCATATGCGGGTAACATAAAGCATAATTCAAGATGCACAAACCAAATGTTTTATATTCTCCATACACAGCTTACACACCAAACACATATATATGTCTGCATTTTTTGTTGTGAACAAGCAGAGAGCTAGCACGAGGCAGAAAAAAAAGGATAAATTATTTTTCATCTAATGAGGTTGGGATAGATGAAAAACTTGAACTTTAGCCTAAAAATTCTATGACTCTAAGATACAGAGGACGAGAGAAATAATATAACAGCATGTTTATCCATCAGAAGACAGAGAGTCAGACAGATAAATGTATCAACGTATTTCAACTGCATGACAGTGAATATACTGTTGCTAACAACTAAAGTTATACTGGTTTTGCAAACTCCGAGCATGGGGACAGGTGTCATCACTCACTCCACAGCAAAAGAAACTGGTTTGAGGGCTATGTCACCCTGCCCTGCTGTGGTTATGCTAAAGACAGCTATGGGAAGGTACAATCACACCACCAGCCATTGACTATCTGGAATCCAATAGATGATATATGATTACAAGTAAAATCCACACACACGAATGATACAAATTGAAAGCTTTTGAGCACAGACATCTAATGGAAACAGAATTTGAAATCAGCATGCCAAGTCTCAGGTTGACCCTCCCTTTTGCTCTGCATTTTAACAAAGTGCTATCTGTGCGTCTTCATCAGCAGTCAGGGCAATACTCATTCAAAATGCAGATTTCCAGGCCCCGCTCCCAATCCACTAAATCAGAATCAGGGCCTGGGAATCTACATTGTGATAAATTCCCCAGGTGCATTTTTATCCATACTAAATTGCTGCTCACTGAACTGACACAGGTTAGAATAGCCTTAATGGGAGGTATGTGCGCACTTTCCATGACAAAATTTGTGCATTCAAATGAATTGGTACAGATCAAACTGGTACAGATCAAGCTGTGCGTGTAAATGCACCCTCCTCCTATAGATTCTCATATCTACACAGGGTTGTGAGGGAAGAGAATCAACATTTATTAAATGCCCATTATAGTTTAGTTTTTAACAAACTGTCTTATCACTCCCTCTTCAAAATAAACCTATGTGAGCTATGGATGGAAAAAGTTAAGCTTAGAGGAACTGTTCTACACTCACGGCCTGGAAAATGGCCCAGTTAGGTTGTGAAACTGGATTTATCTGACCCCAGCCTCCTCATTCCATTGTACTAAGCTCACACACACATGAGAACACAAAGACGCGCGTCATACCACAGCATAGGGTAGGAGTCAATGCAATTAAATTACTTTTAGAAACTTTTCGCATCAACAGAAATGTAGCTTTTAATGTACTCATTCTATTAAGAGGGATTCTTTGGTCTGTTTGCTGACAGTGGAATACAGTGTCTGACCACTATCACACCATGTTGAACAGTGAATTTTAGTAATCAGAAGTATGTTTGGGGACATGTTAGAGTCAAATTTAACAGTGACTCTTAATTTGTGCAAGCTATAAACTAGTACAAAATGAAATCACTTCAATTCGCTCTGTATCTCACACTACCGTACAAAGGGAAAGACCAACAAATTTACATCTACCACCTGTCCTTCTGATGGTGCTCCCTAGCCCACCCCTCCTCCTCTGGACCTGACATGCTGGCTCCTTCCACTGGGAAACCCCATCCATGGGCTTTTGGAATCATGTTCCTCTGGGGTTCTTCTTTGCTCTCCCGCCAGAATTCTCTCTTCCTCCCTAGGTCCTTTCTTTGCTTAAAAGGCTCCATCCTCAATCTTTTTCTCTATATACACTCTCTGCTGGAAAATCTCTCTTCCACCTCTTGACCTTTTCTTATATACTAATGACTCCAAAACTAGCCCTGACCTTCCTGTGGAGCCCAAAGCTGCATCAGCCTGGGAGGACAGCATGCTTTACCACTTCTGACTCAGCGCCTCTGAAATACAGCATCTTGCCTCCTCCCAGGCTTCCTCCATGGCACTGCGGCTCTGGGAAGCTCAGGGTTAGCACGAGCTGCTCCTTCTCCCCTGACCATCTGATTCTGTCAGTTCTTCCATTTTCCTCTGCTCCATTCCATTTCACTACCCTCATCCTCAACGGATGATCATCCACTCTGGGCCTTCCTTCTCCCCCGCTTTCCCTTTGTTGATTACAACAGTCTATTTCCCCTCTTCTCCTCCCAATGTCCCCCAAACCACACACAAGCACTTGCTCCTAATGCAAAGCATGGGTTAATACATTCAAATTTCCTAGTTGGCATCTGAGGCCATTATTGTTCGGCACCAAATGTTCTCCAGCTTTCCTTCCTACTGGATGCCTGTACAGACCAGTTCGAACTCAGCTAGCTGCACTTGACATTTTTCCCTGAATATGCTCCATGCTTTCTCCATCTCCCTCCATCCCTCCTATGTCAAATGTCTCCTCAAGTTACCAGAATATCTTCTTTTAACATTCACCATATAGCATTTCTGTATATTTTGTTTTCAGCTGCATAAGGGTCTGATGTGAAAGATTCTAGGTTGTTTCACTGCTGAGCTATCCATCCCCGTTAGCACAGCGTCATACTTACAGGAGGCACCCAAATATTTGCTATATAACATTTACAGAACTCCTAGAGTTTACAAAGCATTTCACATTCAACATCTCATTTGTTTTTATTTGGAACTCAAGTTATTACAAGTAGCATTCAAGCCTTGCAATCTGATTGCTATTGCTGAACACAATTCTTGCACAGATTTCTAACTTACTTTCTTATAAATCAAACAAAGGTATTTCTTCAATTGCTTTACTTTGACCACCTCTAGTCCTCTGGCTTATGAAGCTAAAAGAGGAGAGCATTTTGAACCAAAGAAAGCCCCCTTGCCTAATTGCCTTTTCTTCTGTCTGTGAATAAATAATACAAATAAAAAGGCCCCCATGAGCAGGCAACAGTTGTGGAAAAATAAAAATTTTTATAAAAGAAAAATGACAAATTCCTTTCTAAAGATTTTGAGATTTTAAAAATAGCTCTCCTAGGGGCTGGAGCAGTAGCTCAGTGGTAGAACGCCTGCCTAGCACGTGTGAGGCACTGGGTTCAATTCTCAGCACCACATAAAAATAAGTAAATAAAAAATAGCTCTCCTACGTGAGTCAATCTCCAGCGTCCTTACAGCTACTGGTCCACCATAGTAACAATAGAAAATTGCTAAGAGTTGAATAATTCCCTGCTAAGAAACTGGACACAACAATTATAAAAACATAATAAATCGGTTTGTAAACCCAAGGGCCTTGTAGGAGCTCAAGAAATAATTTGTTGAGTGAAAAATAAAGGAACTCAGAAAAGGCCTTACTATTGTTTATAAACAGCATAAATTTAGTGGATGGAAAAATATGTTAAGGTGGGGGGAAAAATGAAAACTGAATTGAAAGGCAAGAACTTGGATATGTCCATTACTCTGGTCTGTTCCGGTGACAGATGCCACTCAAGACTGCTGAGAGCTGGGTAAAGGAGAGCCAGCCGGGCAGGCAGTGCCCCTCTGACTCCGCCTCTCTGGAGTTCGGTGGAATGTGGGTTGCAAGCTCCTGGAGGGCAGGCACTTTGCTTTGAACTTTGTGTTCCTCACATAGCACTTTGCATATAGAATAAACTCCATAAATGAAGCATGAGATGTAAAGCCCTCCATGACCTGTCTGTGTTTTCACAGTTCTGCCCTTTAACACCTTTTCTGTTTTACCTCCCAGGGGTATTGTAAGGAGGGAATAAAAATACCACTCTGAATGTCCTCAGTACACTGCCTGGCACACAAACATAAACAAGTGCTTGACAAATGGAAGTTGTTACTGTCACCATCTGGGGCTTTGTACACGCCTCCAAGGCAGGGCTGCCAGTTCCTGGTTACAAGAACCCCAAGTGTCTCGGGAAGGGTTCTTCACGCTTGTATACTAGATGCCTGGCACCATGCTCACCTACAGCAGGCCAGGAAGCTGGTTGTAGGACTGAGCATCAGGGATCCACATTCCAGTCTTGCTTTGACCCCCGTCTACTAGGTAACTAACCCTCAAGAGTCACTTCAACTTCTCAGGCCTCAATGATGTCTCTGGGTCCCCCTAGGTCAGAGAAGCCACTATCTATGAAAAGATGAATAAAAGCTCCCATGGCAGAACTGGAATGAGAAACTGGTTGTCCTAAAGCCCCATTCCCTCATTCCCCTTCATCACAGAGGCCTCACAAGTCATGTCTCCTTAATAACTGCTGTTTGAGAGTCATGGACACTTTGTAATCCCCAAACTTGGGATATAGCTGTCATAAATCATACAACCCTTAGGAGTTCCCTAGTTCCTCGAGAACAACCATTTTCTATTTCAAGTAGACTAAGGAGAGATATAAGCTTTGTTACCTCAGTTAGAACGGACCAGCCTTAACAGAGTTAGCTTCCCGTGCTTTGGAAGAAATCACTTGGAAATTCTTGGTACTGAGTCCTCCATCTCCTCCACATCAAGATCTAAAAAAAAAAAAAGAAAAGAAAAAAGTGCAATGTCCCATGAGTTGCTGCCAGGACTTGATGCTTCAGCGACAACAGGAATTGCAATTAGCATATATTGAACACCTACTGTAAGTCAAGGACTGCACAAATGCTTGACACATGAGGCCTCCAGTAATCTTCATAATATTTGAACACCTACTGTAAGTCAAGGACTGCACAAATGATTGACACATGAGGCATCCAGTAATCTTCGTAATATTTCTCAGGTATACAGAGCATGCACCCATTTTACAGACGTAAACATGCAGGCTCCAGCGAGATCATGGAATCAGTTCAAATTCACACAGCTGATTTGAGAGTTGGGACTCAACCCCAGGTTCAAATGATTGCAAAGCCTGGACTATTAACCAGTAAGTCAGGGTTTCAACGGCTGTTGGGACAATGACCAGCTTTTTGAAATTTTTAAATTACATTATATAAACTGAAAACCAAAAGTTTCACAAACAATGATTACCCTTACAATGTGCAATGCGCACTATTTTCTATTCTATTCTTTTCTATTGCACTACATATTCTAAACAACCCCCTCCCCCTCATTTTTTCCCTCAGTAGCAACCCACTAAACGGATTCCACAATCTTCTAATGGGTTCTCACTCTCTGGGAAAATCACTGTGCACCTCACCAGAAGTTTCTTTGAAACCACGACAACCCCCGCCCCCATTCTTTTCAACCATGGGTAGTTCAGCTTCACAATTAGAAGAAAAGGGTTTAACCTTTAAAATATACATAAGGCACCATAACACATGCCATCTATAATGGATCCTTGGAGTGTACGTTCATTTAGGGCTGAAGTCCAGAATGTATTAGGCACTTACCTACAGCAAAGCAGAAGTTTTAAAGCGGATTCGCGAACAAACTAAAATCTCAGGTGATTTACTGGATACTCTGCAAATAAGTGTCTAAGAGCAGGCGGCGGTGGTGTAGCGACAGAGCCCACCTAACTGCAGCAGGAGCAGGAGGCTGAGATTGCAAACCCCTGGGGGCAGGGCCCTGCCTTTGCACGTTCCGTTCAATTGCAGGGGCTCAGCGTTGCACTGGAAATCACATTCCCGGAGGACCAGGACTGGGGTCCCGTTCCGACCCCGGGGAGGGGAGGCGCGACAGTCAGCGCAGCGCCCCAGCCCGCTGGACCTGAGCCCACTGTGTCCCCGGTGTGCATTTCTCCCTCCGGCTGCCCTCTGGCCCGCCGCGCAGCAGGGCCACGAGATGCGTCGCCACGGCCCGACTCGGGCTGCAGGCCACCCTCCGGGGCTCGGGGCGCGGGACCCTGCACCTGCGGGCGCTCGCTCGCCCCCCGCGGCTGCGCAGCTTCCCGGCGTCCACGGAGCTCGCAGCCCTGCAGGAGGCTCCCGGCCGGGTTGAAGGCTCTCTCTGGGAAGAGGAGCTGTCCGGCCGGCCGCGCCCGGGACCCGCAGGCCGCGCCTCGCCCACCCGGCCCGGCACAACACCCTGCCAAGGGCACTTACGGGGCTCGGCTCCTCGGCCGCCGGCGCGCTTCCCCCGGGGGTCCATGGCGCTTCCGGACCCGCGAGTCCGGCCGCGGCGCCGCACAGCACCGCCCAGAAAATGGACGCCGGCGGCTCGGCTCCGCCGGCCCGGCCCGCCCCCGGCGTGGGGCAGAGGACACAGCCGCCCGGAGAGGTCGGCCCGACCCTCAGCCCGGCGCGCCGAAGCCGGGGGACCGCCACGCGCGGGACGAGGCCTCGGGAGGGCGCGGCCGGACCCTGCACCCGCCCGCGGGGCTCCGGGAGCGGCGGGGGGAGCCCTCAAGGCCCCGGGCGCCACCGAGGGCAGCGGCCTCAGCTTCCTCGCGGAGGACGCGATTTGGAACTCGCCAGAAGGGCAGCGCAGTTAGGGCTTTAGGGCCACAGAGCCTCGTCACCGTCAGAGCGAGGCCTGGGTCTGCAGGAGGGTCCTGGGCACGGGATCCAAACCCTGCACACTTAACAGACGCAAGACTCAGAAAAAGTACTGTGCAGTTTTAATTGCGTCAAGTTCTCAGGAACAGGGTGTCACCTGTGTTTTCCCAGGCCTGTCAGGGGAGGCCTAGATTGATTTTCCCAACGTGGTATAAAAAGTACTTCACGCCTAAGACCCAGTCTGCTTCCTTAAATAAAGGGCACTGGCTGCCTGCTGGAATCCTCCTTCCAAGGGCTGCGCATTTGAATGTTTACTGAGGGCCTGCGGCAAACTGCCTTGTGGAGCTAACAGGCTAACGTGCGTGCGTGCGTTTGTGCAGGTGTTTACTTGTTAAAAGAAAAAATCCTTCGTGTTCCTTGTGTTCTGATGGTACTGAGTCTTAAAATTTCTTCAGAAAAGATTCACTTCCAGGCTACAACTTGGATTAAGAAGAGTCTGTTCTTTGCATGGCCTGCAGCTGCTTTTTAACTAGGAATACTGGCTTGCATCTCTGCATCCCCGTTCCCAGTCGAGTTTTAATAATGTGATCATTTTGATGATTTAAGTAGATTCTGATATTAACTCAAAGCCAGTAAAGCATTTTAAATGATACAGGAAAAATATATTGACTCCGTGTCAAATTAAAGAATCATGTCATTTAAAAATAAAGGCAGAGTTTTGAAGGCTGACAGGTTGGGTAACATGCATACACATGTACCCCAGCAGTTCCCAGCCTCTTCAATACCAAACACCCTTTATACTCTCTCCACAGGTCACGTGTTCAGAAAGATCCTACTCCACTAAACAGCATTTATTAAGTAATGATTCATCTTCCCACTTAAAAAAAAAAAACTGCAATGTTTTTGTACATATAACTGCCAATCAGAGCTTTCATGAAACCTGAGCTAACCTGTTGGTAATGGTGGATTCCAACCTAAAAAACTCATAGTCTAATTGCATGTTCACATGTTTTCGTTAAGGCCTTTGGAAACTGAAATTATCCAAAGACCTCCAAGAGAACTGAGGCTCACAGATTAGAAGAGGGGCTGGGAAATGCCAGGATGCCCTATCACACTCTGGTCTTCTCTGCAACTGGAAGGTGGGAGGTGGGAGAACAAGGCTATTCGGCTTTCACGTTTTGTCTGCCTGGGTATAAATCCCAGTCTTGTTGCTTACAAGACCACTTTAGGCAAGTTATTTCACCTCTCTGGACCTCAGCTTCCTTATCTGTAAAATGGGGCTACTTTTATTATTTGTGCATATTATAGAAGCTGAGAATTAAATGAGATAATACACGTGAAGCATTTACAACAGTATCTGAAACATAGCAAGTGCTAGTTGCAAGCTGTTGTGGCTGTTGCTAATATTGAAAGTTAATATTCAGAGTTATTCATGTATTTATTTGTTGCTGGGGTTTGAACCCAGGACCCTGCACATAGGCTTTACCACTGAGCTATACCCCCCCAATCCAAGTAGTCAGAGTTCTAAATTCCTCCCATCCAAGCAGTGAGAATCAGCCACTGTGTGTGTGAAACAACCTTTATACTCTAGAAATTTTCCATGGGTAATCTGCTAGGGTCACATGATGAGTGACATAGGGGATTTAAGCACAGGTCTGACTCCACAGTCCACTTTCTTGCTTTGCTAACTGTTCCAGGTGGTACCTTGATCAGACGCTGTCAACAGCTTGTTACTGGTGAAATCGGCTCTGGCTTTCCTAAGAGGCTTAGCAAGTGAATAGCTCCTTACAAACACTTGGAAATTCACAAACAGTGGCATTTCTTTCTCATTGGAGCCAAATGTTTCTCCAGAAGTGACTAGATTTCCCCAAATTGTTATTAATAACTGAACTATCACAGCAACAGTGTTAAACACTGAAGCCTAAAACTTACATAATCTGCCAGGCCTTCAAAATTTTCCATCCTTCCTCATAACCAGTCGCGCAGAGTTTCTCTTAATCATTCTTCTGAGTATGGGGAATAATCTGGAAATTTCCAGGAACATCCTACCTTGTCATATTTATATTCTTTTCTGTAAAGATTTGTTATTTTTAAGATAACTAAATGTGATATATTTTCTATATAATTTCATTTCAATACCTTTATGAAGAAAAAAAAAAATTCCAAGAGCACTTTCAAGCATCTCCTCTCTTAAATCTCCACCATCTCGGCAGTGTGGCTCTTGAGCCTTTTCCAGAGGCCTTTTTTTAAGAAGCTGCCCTTGTTTTCTACCTCATGTCATTTACTGCCTATGCAATTTCTGTTTTCCTGGTACTGCCTGCTTTTGCTTTCTGACTAACACTACTGGACAGTTCTACATTGATGGCCGCCTCCTCTTTCTATGGGGCTTTAGGATCCTCATAATATCATATAAAAAGACCAAAGCATTGTCTCTTAAGCCCACTTGCTTTCTTTGTTTCCCACTCAGATTAGGAATTCATAACTCCTACCTCCTGTGCTTACAGCTCTGTTAATTGATGGTTTTCTTTTCCCCATCGGGGCTCTCACCAAATTCTATCAGGAGGACTCCCCTCCTGTGGCTGCTTATCCCTTTCCCTTTAAGCATTTTAAGGAAGTCTCTTCCATATCATTTTCTCTCATCTCCGCCACATTCCTGAAAGGCCTCTTGTGTGTGAGGTCCTGTTGACGTCCACCACAGCCTCTGAAGAGGCACTGTTTAGAACTGGGGTGTCAACTAATGTGGCTGCCTGTGGGAGCCTGGCAGATAACCTAAGTGGTGTGAACTGGGCCCTACAGAATTCCCATCCCACCTAACTAGCAGTGGGAAATGGGGAGTGGGGGTGCTCACTGTCCAGCCTTGGGATAATCATTGCAGGTGGGAATGCCAGATCGGCAACATATTCAAGGAAGCAAAAAATTAGGATTTTTATGTAAGTTCTATGAAATGTCAACTACTAAAAAAAGGAAGAAGCCTCAGTCTGATCAAGCCTCCAGGTGTAGCTACCAGTTTACAGGTAATCTCTAAGACTGAAACTGCACTAAGGGATGCATTCATCTAATTTCTGGTTGGGGGAAACTCTAAGGTCAGAGCATTTTCT